TATTTTGCTCTGGGCAGTTCTGAGTCCTTCTTATTAGTAGAAATGTCCTTCAATAGGAAGTGGCCATTTGCAACCCTTTGCACTATACTAACATCATGGGAATTTGAGTTTGTATGATGTTGTTTCTGGGCTCCTGGATCAAAGGTTTCCTTCTCCTTTGCATCCTAATGATTGTGTTTCTTTAATTTCCTTTTGTGGGCCCAACATTGTTAACCTTCTGGTTTTTGTGACATCACGTCTTTGATGAAACTACTCCGTGGAGATGCATGGGTCCGACATCTCATGTCTTTCATGGCAGCTACTTTCTCTCTGCTGCTTAATATCCCTGTTGTGCTGGACCTCTCACCTCCCATTTGATGCCATCAGCAGTGGGAGCTTCATCTTCATGTACGTCAGACTCACACAGAAAAGACAGCAACAAGGCAGTGGCCATTCTCAGTACTATGGCTTTCCCTGTGCTCAACCACCTCCATCTGCAACCTGAGGAAGAAGGAGAGTCTAAATGCCTGGAGGCATGTAATCAATTAAGCATGGAGCTTTCAAAGCATCTTGTGGAACATGAAGAGTGTAAACACGGCTACATTAAAGAATTAAGAGTTATCCATATCCTCAGTGTGGTGTGTGGTGTAGGCATGAGTGCGTTCATTTGTCTTTGCATGTGTGCGTGTGTGTATATGCGTGTGGGTATGGTCATGGGTGTGTATAGATGCCACGGAAATCGGACATCAAAATGATTCTTTTGTGTATATTTCTAATGTCTATTCTTAATTCCTTTCCTCTCTACACAGTATAAAATTAAGAAGTAAAGAGTTTTGTTATCAACTTCATGAAGCTGAGAAGTAGATACGGTTGGTGGGTCCCAGCGGGGGTGGCACATGAATCCAAAGAATCTTCTATGGCTTCCTTTAATCTAGTCTCATATACGGGGTGATGTGATTGTGAAAGTTTTCAAAGTGGTTGTGGAAAAGTGCACAATGTTTTCTCCTTACCCAAGTGCATGACTGAAGATGGTAGATGAAAAACCAAGAAGAAAGGGAGAAGGCACATGAAAGAGCTCACCTTCCCTCTTGACTGCACTATAACTGCAGGAATCTGTCACATAGAGATTTGATAAAACATATTGTAATGAATACTCTTCTATTTTCAAAAGCCTGCACCAGTGTAGATCTCTCCCTATCTTCATCCATGATTAAATGGACTAATCTATTTTCCCATATAGCATCCCCATTCCCAGACAACTATGATGTCACATCCATGTGTCTAAACACCCAATAGAGAAATACTTAACATAGAAGTTTTTATTAATATGAATACTCCTCAAATGGCATACAAGCCATAAGGTACTGGAGTGAAACACCTCATGTGCTTATATTATATCTAATTTATAGATAAATTATAGGGCTACCTATTTCTTTTTTTCATTGATGACTATTATGTTGTGGTTCTCTTATTTCTCCAACAGGAAGAGTGAGACCTGAAGAACACAATGAGTCAAAATATGAGCCTAAGCACTTTTGCACAATAATGATTCTGGCTAAAAATACCCAAATTATACCATTTAAATATTACTTGAGGTTTGAAACTACAGCAGTATTTTTAAGCTGGTGAAAATTGGAAATTCAAAAGGATTGAAAATATTCCTGAATCGGGTTGAAATCCATGGATTACTTGAGTAAGAAAAAAAAGTTGGAAAAAAGTAGTTAAAGTTTTTTTCCCCTTTTATTTGAAGGTATTTTAGAAATGGAAAGAGATTTTCTTTATACATATTAAAATATGATTTTACTTTTATTCTATACTGCTTTTTGTGTTTGAAAATTGAGCTTTATTTAAAGAAAGAAAAGAAAGCTAATTTTGCGACCATAATAAATATGAATAAATAGAGAAAAAACACCACAAAAAAACCTCCCTCCCTTCTTTATGGGTGGTAGAGTTGGTCCACAAACATGAAAATACAAACAGACACAGAGGCGCACACAGCTCTGTCAGCCCTGCAATGGATTGTACTTATTCTCAACATTTCATTGATTAGGTGTCTTTCCTGACAGCTTGTCTCAGTACGCTGGAGGAAAATGCCTTCATCTCCCTTATCCCTCCCAGACTCACAGATCATCCCTTCTTCCTATGTTGCCTTAAACTGCCCTCATAGATTGGGCCATTCTTAAGCTTTTTATGGGACATAAAAACCTAAGAATTGCCATACTGCATCCGACCAAAGGATCATCTGTCCCAGATTCCTGCACCCTTGTCTAGTTTCCTCTGACCTCAGTGGGCT